AGATTAACACTTCAAAACTGACTCTCTGTCTCTCTCTTTCACTTTCTCATTTTACCCATCTATAATCCTCTCTCCTTGAATCTATTGCTCTCTTCATCTTTCTCTTCCTTTTTCTTAACCTATTGTCAAAAATGAGCACTTACCAAGCACCAAATGGCTTCGACAGGTAAATAAACTTGGATTTTGCCATTTAGGGGCTTTTTACACGACACCGGTTTCAACTAAAAACGTAAAACTTTTTATGCGTTTTGGCCGTTCATTTACACGACATTGGCGTTTTGGGTGACTGAAAACGCAAACTTTTGAAAACAGGTTTCAAAGTGCAAGTCTTTGAATTCAGTCTTTATGTTAACAATAAAAACGTGAATCTGTGAAATCGCTGACGTCATGCACATGCGTATTATGTGTTCAATCTACAGTGTTTCATAGCCATCTAATGGCCTGGCAGCAGAATACAGCTTTTTTAGTCGTTTTTGCGGATCCGTGTGAATGGGGATCGTTTTGACAATGATGTCGTCTGTACGCGGAAAACTCAAAAGAAAAAAAGTCTCCGTTTTAAGCATATCGTTTGTCGTGTAAACATACCCTTTTTGCCAGTAACCCTATTATGGAAGTCAAACTGCAAGAATGACCTATGTACCGTATTGTTCAGAATAAAAGATTATGTTTTTTTCTTGGAAATACATCTGAAAAAATGGGGTCGTCTTGTATTCGGGGTCTAAACGTTTACATGTCAATAATACACCCGAAACAATAGGCCAAATACGTGTAAATACGAGTCAAACAACTCTCATTAAGCAGCAAAGAAATACGGTGTCAGAGTGTAATGTTAGAAGATGGGGATCCCAAAAAGACAAAGAAAAGCTTACCGCTTGGAAGAAACTGACAGGCAAGTGTGTCAGTACGTAGCCGAAAAAGAAAAAAAATCCAGCTGAAGGCACTTAAAATCGCCAAAGAGCTGAACATACCCACCAGCGAGGCCCATCATTTCTTATTTCAGCTATGTACTGACGTACTTGCCTGTCAATATCCTCGAGGCGGCCTCTTTGATGCGGCGTAAGAATGATGAAGTGTAATGGATTAGCACTTGCCCTCCGACTTCAGGGAGAAACTGCTGTCTTTTCAGCGCTATGTGAAGGAAAAAACATTTATATCCAATCTAGATCAGATAGGTTACAGGTAATGCGGATCAAACACCTTTTTGAAATGCCTGCATCTGTCACTATACATAAAAAAGGTGTGAAATCTACTAAATGAGAACTTCAGGTTATTTTATGGCAGCTGTATCATAAAGTGCTTAAAAATGCAAATATGAAACATATGAAATTATTTTCTTTAAAAGACAAGATTTGGTCTTCAAAAAGCCTTATTCCTAAAGGTACATCTTGAAAAGTGGGGGTCGTCTTATATTCTGAACAATACGGTAATTTACTAAAGTGATTTAAATCATAATCTACAAAAAAAAAAATATATATATATTTGCAATTTGTACATTTCCACAAAAGAAATTCTGTTAATCTCCTTTATCTCCTGTTAAAATATTTTTGCTCTCCAAAACACATAAAAAAGAAATGTAAATGCAACCAAATGGATATATGAGGATCAAAATAACAATGTCTTTACGTTTTTGTGACAAGCACAGAAAGATGGACACTAGCTAGCATGTGATTCATCAAGTAACATAATTTCAGGTGCTGTTTAGCGCCAATACACAAGGAAAAAAACAATTAAATAATTTCTAAATTAATATAAAATTCTAGCCTATATTTTCTATTTCTATATCATACATTTATATATATTAAAAAAATACAATGCAGTTATTGCACAATATAAATTCATGACCAGGTTGTTTCTAAACCTAGCGAGCTGTCCACAGCTGCCCAAAATGTTTTTTTAAACACAGCCACTCTCTCATATTTCTCTCCCCCTTATGTTTGCCTTCATTTATTCCTTCTTTCATCTCATTCAGAGTCTGTCCAGCGGGACGGTCTGATGATTAAGTTGTCAGATACAGATACAGATGTCATTTGTCACACCGTTTTATAACGGTGTATTTACACACACATAATCCCATAAACACGACTGCTTTAAGGACATCTTACCAATGGCTGCTGCAAAATGACATAGGCTACATCCACATACACACACAAAACGGGATGACCATGTGCAAACCTGCAAACAACAGATGTACAAGCATAGGCATGACTCTCCTTGCCACACAGTGCCCTGGCATTTCATGAGCACAAATGTCAAAATGCCAGTTAAAGCTAACAATGTACAGTACTCTGAATCTGTGTGCACTGTGACTGTGCGCTATATTTTTTGTTTGGCCAGTATTTTTTAAGTGGGATTAGGTGGAAATTAATACAGGAAACCCAGGGTTGTGCATATTTCAGAATGAAAGAATATCCATCCATCCATCCATCTATCTATCAAAATATATTTGTTTAAACTTTCAAACAAGCCTCTGTCAAGCCAATGTTTAAAATTGTCTTGACAATCTTTGCCTTTCTACGTAAAAATAAAATTTCAAATAATTTTAAATTCAACTTGCGTTTGCTCCAATTTAAATTGTAATTCTGCATTATATTTGCTACCTCAATTCAAATGAAATAAAAATCAAGGAACTCAATTAGAAAGTAAAAGTCGCTAAATGCACAAAAATAAACATACAATTTACCACAACCCTGCTTTTTGTAGAAACCCATTAGTAGACTTGTACAATTTTTAACTTGTAAAATCTGCAGGACTGCAGTACAACATTGGGAGCTGGAATAATCAATAAGCCAAATATTTTATAAACAAATATGCAAGGATCACGGGATTTGTAGAACTTTGTGATTGACAAGTGCTCTATCTCTGTGGAAATCTGCTTATCAGTTAATGCCAGCGCTCCTGACTCGGAATAATCCAATGGGAGTAAAGAAACTACAGGCCTGCAAGGAGCTCAAACTTTAGTTCTGTGTTTCTCTTACAAACTGTGACACTGAAATTAGGGTGGAGTTTGCCTCTGGCTCTGAGATGTAGATCATCTATTTTCTCATTCCCTTTTACTTTTTTCTTTTCTCTCTTTTCCAGAGCAATCCATTCTGCCTTGCTTCTGGGTTGTGTTCAAGGGCATCCCAGCACGATGGTGTTTCTCAGCCTTGTCTCCTTCTATGAGATCTGGCCTAGACTTCTTAACATCCCATGATACCACTGAAACACAACCATTAGACCCAGAAGGCACTGAACTGATATTTCAATCTAGATGATCTATTGTGTGACAGTGAGACCACACAATCAAGGAAAATAAAAAGTTGTGTTTCCACAAGCACATCTATGATGTTAACAGTTTGGCAGTACAGGGAGAGTTTGGCAGTCCATTCATCTTTCACTGACATACAGAATGTTTCTGAGCGTAGTCAAATACTGTTTTGGAGCGAATAATCAAAATTCACAGAGCTGTATTTAGTAAACAGTTCCAAAAGGGCTCAGAAAGTGCGATGAATCACAGTCCTGCACAGTGAGGTAACCCTGCATTCCAACCTTGTTCCACACTCATATTCCAGAATGCTGAGATAATGTTCTAATTATACGTTCTGGAATTTTTTAAGATCCGAAGGAAATCAAGACATCTGAGTTCTTGAATGTGAGTTGAGCTGAAAGACTAAAGCAGCCACAATCCTGTCTACAGCACAGGGCATGACACACCCCCTATCCCTTCATCATTTCATTACAGGAGTGTTATTAAAATCCACTTAAAGGCGCGCACAGCTTTGCTCTATGGAAAGTATGCAACAGGCCAACAGGCCCCTGAAAGTCTGACCCTCAACATCTGCTTTGAATCTGGTTAAAATATACACGGCCCTGTTACAATCGGTCACTGTGCTTGCCTAACGTCTTTTATACCAGGACAGATGGACAGTTTTCTGTTTTACTGTGCATCTTATACAGATGTGCTGATTTTTCACTTTCAATAACCTTTGCTCAGGTGCAGGAGACATGTTAGCGATAGCTTTGAGGCTTCCCTCTCATGTCAAGCAAAAGCTTGTCAACAAACAACAAAACACTCACTCTATGATCTGTAGCCTAGAAAAATGTTGTTGTCAATGTCAGAATGGCACATCTATGGGATTTCCATGGCAAGAAATCTGAACAAACACTGTTGAAAAAAACTTAGCAGGTTTACTGATCTTTGATGGTTTAGGTTGCTGGTCTCCCAGCCTGGACAAGATGGTGTTTAGCTGGGTGGCCAGATTAAAAAGTGCCCCAAACCCCTCTAATCCAGCCAACAAAACTGCCTGACCAGGATGGGAGACCAAATCAGACCAGCTTAGGTTGTTTTAAGATATATTTTTTTTCAACAGGGAATATAGTCATGACATAAGCTACAGGCATGCATGCATCATCTCCAGAAAGGGAAACATTTAGTCAAAGGCTATAGTCAAAAGCAAAAAGAAGCCTCATTTAACATTACACACACTACAAAAAGCGGTCAATAAATAAAATAATTAATAAATAACCAAGAAACCAAACAGTCAAACATCTGCCAAACAGGATATTATAATCATTGTCATCATCATCCACACTGACTCTGAGGAATCAGGCTTTGATGCTAAAATCTAAAGAGAGAGAATTGTGAATGAAAGATACACGAAAAGATGGAGAAGAGGAGAAGATGAGAAGTATATCTGGGGATTTTCTTTTTGATGACATCCTCCATCGGCTGCTTTTTGCACACAATGGTTCTGATATCATAGTGACATCACAATGATGTCACAGAGCAAAATACTTAGCATCAAGCATGCCACTCCATCAGGCACATACAATTCAAAAATATCTTACATGCATGACATTCCTGTTCTGACAAGGCACTATACTAATGCAATTGAAATCGAGATTTTAAATAAAAAATAAAAAATTCGAAAATGGTTCTTCTTAACAGTGATATTTTAGGAGTGACTCATCAGGACAGGAACCCAAACACATTTGACAGTAAATATGAGACTATGACTTACAAGATTTCGTCGTTTTGGAACTCCAGAACACCATGGGAGTCTTCAAAGTCCTCTCCTCCTCCACGGGCAGTTCCCTCAACGGTTTTATACGGCAGTGACACCACCCCACGGGCGCCAGACGTGCGCAGGACCTTCACTTCCATGATACCCACACTCTCACTAACGTGGGAGACTGGCTCTTCGAATGTGAAGATTCCAGCATGGTCATCGTCAAAGATGGTGACACTTGCTGTGGAGGGCACACCGAGTGTTGCGATGGTGTCCACGTGATTGGCCTCAGTGGTCTCTGGCTCATCACCCTCATGAAGCACACGGACATTGCTGATGTGGATAAGGAAGTTCTCGTCCTCTTCAAAGATGTCATCGTCAATAATTCCAACTCGGATCTCCTTCTGCGTCTCACCTGGCTTGAAAACGACAGTGCCTTCAGTGAATTCGTAGTCTGAGCCGGCATTCGCGGTTCCATCTTCTGTACGGAATTCCACCGACACGGTCTGGTTGAGATCGCCTCCACGCCGAATTACATTCACCGCCACAGTTCCGCAGTTTTCCAGGCACTGGTAAGAGGCAGGGTCAAAAAAGATCTTAGAAATGGGGTCATTCTCTCCAGTGTCACTGCGCACCTCTTGCATGCTCACTGCTTTACGAGCCTGGTCCGCTGCATGCTTCTTTAGAATGTTACCTGCTCCAGTCATCAAGCGGGTCGCCTGGCATCGGTAGAACGCACGGCTCTTCTGCTGCTGGCTGAGCACCTGGTAATTAGCAAGTTCAATCAACTGCTCCACTTCTTTATCGGGATGTTTCTGCTTCAGTTCCTTCAGGATCTTTGCCATTTCACGCCTAGCTTCCTCCTCATCTAGGTCTTTGTCCTCCAGTTCCAAAGCCAGAGTTCCATCCAAGAAGTCCACTGCGTGAGAGTTCAGCATCTTCCCGTCCATCTCGATATCCACCTTGGATGGCAGAGGACGGTCCCCCTCCGTCTCTATGATCATGCCACGGTGCTTGCCGGCTCGGTAGCGCTTGTAAACATACTTGTAAAACAGGAGCCGGCGGTCAGCGATCCAAGCGAAGACCACACAAATCGGAAAGAAGAAAAGAGTGAGGAGACCCTCCCACACCTGGACAATGCCCGGCGAGATAACAGCCAAGATCAGGTATAGCCACAAGTAGGCGAAGATGCTCCAAGTGGCGGTGACGAAGAAAACTCGCAGGTGTTTCACTTTGCGAAGCTCTCCGTCGGGCACCACGTAGACACAGATTCCAATAATGACGAACATGTTGAAAGCTGCACTGCCGACGATGGTGGAGGGTCCGAGGTCACCAGCTTCAAAGTTATGGCCGCACACTTCAATGACCGAGAGCAGAATCTCAGGAGCAGACGACCCCAGAGCCATGAGGGTGAGGTTGGACACAGTTTCGTTCCAGATGCGTACAGTTGTGGTGGTCGTTTCACCATTCGGTTTCTTAATGGTGATCTCCTTCTCCTGAGAGGTGATTACCTCAATGGATGCCATGAAGCGGTCAGCAACAATCGAAACTCCCAGAAACATGTATACCAGTGCCACAAAGTAAACCGTGGCCCGGGCTACCTTGTCCCCAAAGGAAGGGTTTGGAGGTTCCCACACTGGAAGGATGACTCCAGCTGCACATGTGACAGTCCCACCACAGGACAAAGACTTGTTGGCAGGAGAACTATGATCCTGGCTCTGGTCCGGAGCATGTTCCGCTGTCACATGGTGGACGTTAAAGAGCAGTATCACCAAGACGACTAGACACTGAAAGCTCGGGAAGAGGCGTGGGGAGGTCTCACGAAGCCTCATCGTTCCTTACTCTGTGACAAACTTCTGCTATAATAGAAAGAGAACAGGAGAAAGAAGAGAAAATGGAGAAAAATGAAACCAGGGCACTGATCACCAACAAGCAACAACATACGTGTTGTCAAAAATGGTTGTTATATTATAAGGTGTCTGACACTGATTCAAGTCTGACATTTTAGGAACATTTTAACAGTATTTGCTGAAAAGCATGTTCCAGAATTGTTAGGTAAAAAAATTATTCTGGAGAATCTGGACTTGATTATTCCTTTGTCAAATTTGTTTTATCAATTCAATCTTCAGGTTCATTTCTACAAAATACATAAACAAGTCCAGATGCTCCCTTAAGCCTAGTGCTGAATGACATTACATTCTGCAAGGTGTTTCTTCTTTAAAAAGCGCTATTAGTCCAAAGCGTAGTTTAGATTAAAAAAATAAATAAATCTAGTAAAGTTTAGGTTGGGACGCTGGTGCTTGACTACAAGCAAGCAGACCTAAATTCAAACGATGCCTGCAAAATCCATTATCAGACAAAGGGTGGCAATCAACCCTTGAGGCAAGAAGATGAAACACTTGCTCATGGTGCAAAACACATGCATGGTCATTGGACACACACCCACAGTGTCACACACTAATATCTGCAGTCATCAATGGGCATAGTGCACAGCAAAATCTCGCAAACCTTACTCACACATTCATATGAAATAAACCACTTAGCCTCTAATAAGCCAACATAATTATTTAATTATATGCATTTCAGTAGCTTAACTATCGTTTAACCTCGGTTTACTAATCTGAAATGCAAAAGAACCGAATACAGAGCGCATTAATTCAGCACTGCGCTCAGATCTCGTTCACTCTCATTCATATAGGCTACCGCAACCTGCTCTCATTCAGCACCTCTACCCTATCCACTGATGAAACATCTGTTATCCCACATCCTAGGCGTCGCAGACATGCCTAATTTCTTATCGGGGATAACAATTCTTTATTTTTCGGATAAAACGGTTGCTCAAGGGCTTTTGCCCCGCGATGTGCTCAAAAGCGCAGAGTCTACCGAGACCGGATCATGTTTAATACAACTTTCACGTGCACATCCGTAAAACAAGGTGCAGGCGAACAGCCGGTTAAATCATCATCCGCGTGCCACTGCAGACCGCGCCGGACGGGCACGAGAGCGCACCTCTGTATCAAATGGGTCACTCTCCGTAAATATGAATGTGATACCTACTCGGTTTGTCTGTAGCCCCCTATTAACCCTCGTGCAACGATACAGCTACCATTAATCTCCATGCAATCACATCATATAAATATAAGGTGCTCTTACCGTAACGGTGCTCCGTGAAGATGCAAGTCTGAGGGAAAGCGGTAGGAGTGTTAACGGAGACAGTGCGTGTCGGAAGCAGTCAGTAGTATCCCATCTCGCATTAGTTTAGGTTTTTATATATGATATGCAGGAAAGATTAGAGACCCACGCGAGTATTATGCACTCTCCGATTTCCATACACGCGTTTGTTTTCCCCCAAACAGACCCGTAGCGATCAAATATCTGATGCTTTATCAGCAAATCTATGAGAGCTGAAATGTGCGTGCGAGTTCTTCCTCATTCTTCCCCCTCTCGGCTGGTTCAGTCTGTGTGTGACTGTGCGTGAGTGAGTGTGTGAGCGAGTGTGTGAGCGAGCGTGTGCGCGCGTGCCGCGGATCCTCGCGCTCTGACTGGGATACGCGCTGCGTTCAAGAAGAGAGAGCGGAGATTCTGCTTTAACGTTTGTGTTGTTTTTCCCTCCCTTTGTTGCCTTCTCTCATACACATTTATGAACGCAAATGTATCCGTTTTACTGGTGATGATCAATGAATGAATGATCATCCACTAGGACGGTGACCACGTGATACAATACCGGTTTCATTTGTAGTGGTGTAATGCATCACACACTCGACATCTTGTTCATTCTCTATACTGCAACCTCTCCAGCCGTAAACTACACCATTCCACGATTAACTTTTTTTTTGTCAAGGGAAATCCCATTCATTTTGCGAATCGGTTCAGTTCCAGTTCGCTTAATTTGTAATATTTCTGTTCTTCGTCTATTAAAATAACCCATTCAAATATATTAACTTATATTTTTATCCAACATTTTAAGCCCAACGATACACCCGAAATACTTTTACTAGCCGCTCACTCATCGTTTTTCAAATAATTACGAAAAAGAGTGTCCGATAGAAACGATTCTAGTCCGTTGTTGATTCGTTAAGCGAATCAGTTGAGTCTGATTTGTGAACGGATCATTTAGGCCGAATTTTAAACCTGGAAAAGATCCGACTCAAAAGAATGATTCGTTAAATTGGAGAAAGCGAATGAATATATATTAATGTATGATTACAAATTAATTTAATAACGTTTTTATATAGCCTATATAAAAAGACTGAAAAGGAAACTTGCAGATTTGCACAATGGTCTTCGTGTTTTTGTTGCGCCACTGTTGTCCGTTAAATGTTAACGTTGCAAGCAACATTGCAAGTTCAAAAGAAACAAATTAATAAACAGTGTGAAGTTCACATGCATGCACACGTTTTATGGGGAAATTCCATAGACACAGGCTAATGATTTGTATAGCCTGCCCTACTGTAGGCTATATATTTTATCCCCCAACTCTATTACTTGATATGATTTATAAGCCGTTTTCCTTATGGGGACCAAAAAATGTCCCCAAGGACAAGGATTTCTGATATGCCGTCTTTGTGGGAACATTTTGACCCGTATAGGGCATAGCCTACCTGGACCACACACACGTTGGGTTTCCATGTTTTATGGGGACTTTGATTTTTATACTGTACAAGCTGTATATTCTATTCCCCTACACTAAACCTACCTATCACAGAAAACTTTCTGCATTTTTACATTTTCAAATAAGCATAATTTAGTATGTTTTTTAAATCCATTTCCCTCGAGGGGGCCGCTGGCTGGTCGCCATAAGGTGATCTCAGGTTTTATCCTTGTGGTGACCTGTAGGCCTACACGCGCGCGCGCACACACACACACACACACACACACACACACACACACAATCGCTTTAATCTCTAATTTACATCTTAATTGCATCATTTCATTAAAAACTAAGCAGGTTCCTTTGATCTTCATCCTTTCTAAACAAAGCTATCTTACTCTTTAAATTATTCCATGCCATTACTAAAAACACATGCAACATGACTTCATGTAGCCTATCACATGTTTTTTTTATTAATTTTATTTATATTAAATGTGTGATCTAGAAACAAAATATCAGGTCATTAAATATCGGCATCAAAAAAGGGCAGCATTTTTACAGTAATCTGTCTCCTAGTGCTTACCTACTTTTTTGGTTTGGCTGCAGTAACACATTGTGCCAACAGAGGCACCATATTAGATATGAGCGGCATGAAACTGCAGCACAGATAAGTGTGGTCTTTCTTTAACGAATTTCGCATCTAATATTTTTTCTTACTCTAACACACTATATTAATGTAATTAATTTTATCTCGTAGAATCAGACAGCTGTGGCAAATCCTGTCAGACATGTGCAAATATTTGCTTGTGCTCTTTTATTTGAAACAATGTTTTAAAAGGTCACATCTGACACCCATCAGAGCTCAGTGACAGTGATGCGATCTAAACTACACACACGCAAAAGTTGAATTTGTTATTACGTCCTTGCAGCTCCTTAGACACCACCGTGGTTGGATTAGGGGACGTTGAGCTTTGCCACTAATGTAAAAATAAAGTTACAGTAGCTGTTTTTTCCCTCAATAAATCTAAAAGGTGAGTTAAAAAAGCAGCAGCAGCTGTTTTGGCTTTGCTCAGGTGCGGTACAGCATGGCCTAGTTCTTCTTCATTTTGGCCAGAGGGAGATGCGCGCGCCTCTCTCTCTCTCTCTTTCTCCCCCTCTCCGTTTCTCTACTCATCCCTCATTCGCCCTCACAGTCTCTCTTTTCCTCCAGCATCGATCCAGCAGTTTATTGCCAGTTTAAGAAAACCTGATATGTAAAAAAAAAAAGTCAGTTTAAATGTCTCTTTCACACAGACAAACACAGAAACATAATGGATGTTATACTATAAGAATGATAATTACTACCTTATGCCTTAACAAACCTGTTGATATTACTATAGATCTGAAGTAAAACATGATATTTCACTACATTTCTGAGGATATTTTTTTACAAATTTGGCACTTTCAGGGGAGATCACACTACACTTTTCATTCCAGTGACTTCCATCAAGTAAATGCGGGAGACCAGAAACCTATGATCATACTGAAGAAATTTCAGTGCATTCCAAAGTTCCATTTCTGATTTGTGAATTCGTACTTGAAGACATGTGACCATTAGAAGTTCAATACGTCATGTTTAGTTGAATGAAAAGAAAGCACAATTTAAAGCCCAATATTGTGTTGCAATAAAGTGGAGCAGATTGTATATTTTTACATTTTGGATCTATTATTATTTCTTACATGTTGAATTTATGTTTTAAAAAAGACGTGATGTCATATCACGACAGTTGCAGTTTAATGCACTCAGAATATAACATTATATAATCCACTAATTCTGTAATTGTATAATTCTGTTTTTGACCCCACAGGGATCTTTGCAAAAAGCTTACTCATACCGAGCAAAGGGTGAAAAGGCCAACCGCTGAATACAAGTACAGTTACTTACTGAATAACATTTTTGTTAACAAACTGAAAACACAATATTATAACACAGATTCTGTCAGAATGCAGAGTTGTTTCTCTCACGTACACTAACAGTTGAGGAGGCCATATTGATAACTGTACCCTGATCTAAGATAGACTGAGAGCAATTAAACAGGGTGGGGCTATGTTCAGAAATATTTCCTGTCTCTCTGATAACATCTTATAACTCTCAGCTGTCTTCTTCACTCTCTCACCTTTTCCACAGAGCAGTTCTTTATCACTTCATCTGACTCAGACCTAATGTGACACAAAACCTGTTTTTCTTCTGACTGTTGGTGAAATGTTAACTGTGAAAATGGTTTGTTTGTGTACATGTGCATTTTCTTTTCCTCATGGATGCTAAAACATGTATGTCTGGCTGGTATTGTTTGATATTTAAATTTATGTAAATATGCTACTTACACAACAAAACATACCAAACCAAGTACATATACATGTGTGTTAATATAATCAATAAGTTATAAACCGTTTTGTTTTGTTTTTCACCCAAAAATTAACTGAAATCATTAACTCCCTTATGTCATTCCAAACTCGTGTTAAGTTATTTAGCAGAATATCCAGACTGCTCTTTCCCCAAAATAATAATAAAAAAACATTTGAGAGAGAGACCTTGCCATGGCAGAATAAAGACCTGTTTAGACCAACACACGCTTGGCATGAAAATTCAGTTATACTTTCGCATGCTATTTGCCTCTCTCTCTAGAAATACCCCAGTTAGTCTTGTACACAAAGCACTGCACAACTTTTTGACACTCACTTGATAAGACTGTTTCGGATTCTTCTTTTCGGATCATTTGAAAGGTGGTTTAGTGTCAATCGAAGGTGTCTGTTTTACGACATGGAGTAATATTGTTATGTGTTTGGAGAGTACAAATGACAATATGCTAAATCAAATGCACTCCATAAGCATGAACATAAAATTGTAATTTGTTCTTCACATAAAGCCAATTGTTCCATATTGCAAACATTGAACAACCTAAACATTGAGCTTAATAACTCCTGTTGTTTTCTACGGTAAAATAACAATACAGGTTTTGGTGAGTAAATGATGCTAGAATATCCCTACATTTGCAAGTGAGTCTGTTAGTGTGTGTTTGAGGTTCAGTGGGTCTGGTTTTGCCTTCAGGGTCATTGTGTGCTGCTCTTTTTAAGACCAAACCAAGTCGGCAGCACAGAGCGCCAGAGGTCATGACAGCAGTCACCACACTGGACTCTGCTTATTTCACACACATTCACATGCTTGTCGGTATATCTGTGTGATGTGTGAATAATCATAAAATGGATTCTTTTCCATTGAAGCATCACAAATTATATTCTTATTCCCTAATTATTCCCACCCTCCCAATTACCAAAAAATCAGAAAGATTACTGACACATGAAAAGTAGAATCATGTGCATATACAGCACACGCTAGCACCTACAAAGATGCGCCTGCTGTACACCTGTTGCTGTTGAAACGTTTGGGGTTTCCATCAAATCCTTCAGTGATCCATCAGAAATCATTCTAATATGCTGGTTTGGTCCTCAAGAAACATTTGTAATTATTATTGTCAATGCAGAAAACAGATGTGCTGCTCAATATTTTTGTGGGAAGTTACAGTGGTACCTTTTTTCAGTATTCTTTGATGAATAAAAGGTTTAGCAAGAAAAGCATTTATGTGAAATAATTCATTTGAAACATTATAAGGCCTGATTTCATAGAAAGGTCTTTGATTATTACTTAGTTAAATTAGGACATTTAAGTAGATTTCATAAATGAGCCCTACTGGTGTGCATCTTGAGACAAAACAATGGTACTGACATTTTATAAGTGTTAAAACAGCAACAGCTCAAACATGCAATTTAGTCTGGACAATAGGCTTAAGGTCTGTGAAACCGCAGGCAAAAAAAGTACTTCGGCACATTTTTTCCAGACAGTGATATTGTATATTGGTGTGGACAAATTGC